TGCCGTCCCAGCAGTACAGCGGACTAGTCGTCAGTGGTTGATTGAACCGATTGAGCCTTGGTTGATTGAACCTTACATTGCCCTCTCCCTCTCGTGTTTTATCATCCCAGCATAGCCTGACTCAGAGCATTGCAGCCATTATGGTGTCTTTTGACTGAGACGCTGCGGCACACAGCCGGTGCCCGATGGTCGACTTTATTCTGATATTGCCCTCTCCCCGCTAATTCATTTATTCATCATACCACGGCCCTAAAATGTTCTCGAATAGACTAACCCATAGGCTCTAACCATAACCAAGCATAACGAACAAACCCACTAAGCAGTCTCCGAACGTCTGCTGTTAAAATTAGTAGCCAGTAGATGAAACCGAAACCGACGAGTGGCCACGTCAAGCGGTCCCTCAGTGCCCCAAAGGTGGTCACTTTCGGGGTAGAACTTGTCACAACTCAGCCTATCCTACCGGACTGCCGTGGGCTCCTCTCTTACCGCGCGGCGAACACGGTGAATATCGTGCGCTGGTAGTATTACATACAGCTCGCATCCCAAATAAATAGTTACTGCCGGCGAAGGCCCAACCATTCACCGTACTATGGTGCAGGTCCGGTGACTTTCCCGCCGCCCGTGTCACCGCGACCAACGGCGGCGACAGTGCCGTCACCGGTCCCCTCGAGACCCGGCGATGCCGTCTGTATTTGTTTGTTTGTTTGTTTTGTTGGGTTAGGCTCTTTCGGTCCGACAAGACCATTTCAGAGCCGGAAGGATGATAGGAATTAGGGGGTGACATTGGTCTGGGCAGGCACCCTAGTGAGTCGCCGGGGCTGAGCCCGTCCAGAGGACAGGCCACCCATCCCCAAAGTACTCACTGCACCCGGCTACGGGGTGCGCTCCCTCGGGAGCCGCGGTGCCGCTCCAAGGGAGCAGTCCGCATGAGATAAGTTGCCTGTCCAGCCCGGAGGGGGTTTCGGCGTGAAGGAGAAGGATTTCAGTATCCTGAGGATGGAAGCACGGAACGGGTGCCGTCTGTACCGGAACAGCGCACTATCTGTACCCGAACAGGTGCGTCTATGTAGGTGGAATAGGCATACTACCAAACTGAACTGCCGCATGCGAGAGACGGCTACAGTCAACCAGGACTCGTGAGTCTGCGGTGTTTTAATACAGGATCACATGTAAGAGCCCGGTCACCGGCACAGATTGACTGTCAACCAGTCCGTGATATGACCCCTGTTGTAGCTAGCTCACGTTCGGGCCCTGCTCGGCGCACTTGCCGAGGCCAATGACGAGACCGACTTTTACGTCGGTCCTTCTCCGCCGCGCCAACCGAGTTAATAAAATACCTTTCACCATTGTTTTCATACATAATCCTATTATTTGACTCATGTGCCGTAATACTTTGCCTCTGTTGCCGCTCAGCCGTTTCAAGCGTCACAGGCACTAAATGAAGAGCTCTTTGCTAACTGACGGTGAACTGGGCTGGTGCGCGATAGGCACTGGTGTACGCAATGCACTTTAGTTTTTAGGGTATTTCTATTACTTTGCTCAAAAGCAATGGCCATTTGTGACCCAGACAAACATACAGTGATCATAGAACAGGAGACATGAGAACAGCACGAAAACATAGCGTAGGAGAAAAGTGCATAGATGTGGTTTGATACTGTTAATGATAATGATACAGATATGGGCATTCAAAGTCCATTCAAGCCTTCCAACGCATGTAACGCTCTCCTATACACACCAAGGTATAAGATAGGTTTCGATCTGCCCCAGACAGAACAGGGCCTAGGCCGAGAGCCGAGAGCAAAACTAGGGCAAAATAGGCACATGTGTAGCTAAAACTCCACACTCCCTGTGTGTTTTGTTATTTTATACTATGAAGTATGTCAAAGGAACCTCTAACTGTCGTTTGAAGTTGTTAAACTAGACGTCTGAAACAAATTATTATGGGCAAATAAGGAAAACAAACGCTATTGAGTGAGTAAGATCAGCATCAGACACCACAAACTGTGTTAAAACGCCATGCCGACGCTAGCGCCACCTACAATTCTAGATGTCGCTAGTAGGTTATCCCATAGGAGCCCGTGTTACGGCGAGATGGTCTCAAAGAAGTGGGCGCGGACCAGAGAATACTGACCGCAGGACACCGATTTTGTGTTTTTCTTACTTACAAATATATAGCGCCACTTTATCTGACAGTTTCCTCTCAATCTGGAATAAAAACCCTCAAATCGATACACTCTAATAAACATTTCTTCTGTGGTGCACAAAACACACAAATGCACACAATATTAAAACACTCCCTATACATATTCAACACGCAATGTTTCCCCCTCCCCACAGCGCGAGTGTGACCGCAGATGAAGATACTTGTTTATTGATGATGGGTGTTTTCTCTCTGATGTGTAGTGCTTCCAAAATTCGTAACCGATTTGGATGGTCTGATGATGCGATGATGTCTGTGTTGTCTACGAGCTGTTTCCGTGTTAGAACTGTGTTGTGGCGCTGGTGCATGTGTTCTTTTGGTGACCCTTCCCTGAGGTGCATTGTGAGTCGGCGTGACAGTGTCGTGGTAGTCGAACCAATGTAGGTAACCGAATGAAGCCTGCAGTCTTCATGTGGACAGTTAAATTGATATACTACATTGGAACGTTTCAGTTTGTTGTTGCTTGCGAGTGTATTATTCTTCATAACCAGATGGTGAGTCTTTCGATTTTTGTAATATATTTGCAATGTAACCCTATCCTTTGGGTCGGTGCAGGTCACGCCGTCACTGATGATTTCATGCATGATTCTTTCATCTACCTTGTGCGCTGACGACATGTGATTGCGGTAATATAGCCTAATTGTGTTCTTCGCGTTTTCGTCCGTCCTCTCGTGTCCCGACCTGCTAAGGTGCCGTCTAATCTCTGCGTCGACTTCTGTGTTCGTGTACCCATTGTTTATAAGCAGTTGTTTGATCCTGTCGAGCTCAACGTGTAAGTCTGCCCAAGAAGAGCAATATTTCATTGCTCTCCTTAGAAATGATCTAATAACGCTACTCTTGTACCGTTCGGGACACTCACTGTGTGCATTGAGGCATTGTCCGGTGTCTGTGGCCTTGCGATAAACGGTCGTAGCAAACTTCCCATTCTCCTCCTTAACCAGAACGTCGAGAAACGGAATTTTGTTGTCTATGCTAAGCTCATATGTAAAGTGTAGAACCGAATTTCGCTCCATCACCTCTATCAGCTGTTGCGTTCTCTCTGATCCCAAGATAGCTCCTAACATATACTGTAGGTATGTTGATGACGTATTTGTCGACGTCCGTGACACCGAGCACCTGCAACAGCTGATAGAGGTGATGGAGCGAAATTCGGTTCTACACTTTACATATGAGCTTAGCATAGACTCCGTTTCTCGACGTTCTGGTTAAGGAGGAGAATGGGAAGTTTGCTACGACCGTTTATCGCAAGGCCACAGACACCGGACAATGCCTCAATGCACACAGTGAGTGTCCCGAACGGTACAAGAGTAGCGTTATTAGATCATTTCTAAGGAGAGCAATGAAATATTGCTCTTCTTGGGCAGACTTACACGTTGAGCTCGACAGGATCAAACAACTGCTTATAAACAATGGGTACACGAACACAGAAGTCGACGCAGAGATTAGACGGCACCTTAGCAGGTCGGGACACGAGAGGACGGACGAAAACGCGAAGAACACAATCAGGCTATATTACTGCAATCACATGTCGTCAGCGCACAAGGTAGATGAAAGAATCATGCATGAAATCATCAGTGACGGCGTGACCTGCACCGACCCAAAGGATAGGGTTACATTGAGTCTTTCGATTACAAAAATCGAAAGACTCACCATCTGGTTATGAAGAATAATACACTCGCAAGCAACAACAAACTGAAACGTTCCAATGTAGTTGTTGTGTCCGGTGATGCATTATGGGCAGTGTCCGGTGATGCATTATGGGTAGTGTCCGGTGATGCATTGTGGGTAGTGTGGAAAAGAGGCCGAACCTTGGATGAGTGTGCCACGTGTTGGATTGGGAATAAAGCAAGTGGAAGCGGAGATTGATTGTACGAAAAGGGAAGCCGAAGCCGACGATACAACATTTGGCGACGAGGGAGTATTTCATTGACGGAAGCATGGCGGATTTTCGTTCCCTATCGGCGCCCCCCGCTTTCTTGCCTACACCTGGTGCGCCAGTTTTGCCGTGGGAGCAATGGCGCAAAGCTTTTGAAGTGTATTTACTGGCTTCAGGGGCTGATGATTTGCCTGATATACGTAAGCGGGCTGTACTACTGCACTGCCTGGGATGTGAAGGTCAAAATGTCTTTCAAAATCTCAAAGATACTGGTGACAATTACAAGTCGGCCATGGTGGCTCTGGAGGCTCATTTCACTCCAAAAGTAAACGTTGTGTCAGAACGTTACAAGTTTCGACAACGTTGTCAGCTGCCTACTGAGACGACAGAAGAGTATGCTAATGTGCTGAGAGGTCTAGCCAGTCGTTGCAGGTTTGGCGATCTGATGGAGGAAATGGTGCGTGATCAGATCATCGAGAAGACTCGGATGCCACGACTGAGGGAGAGGCTACTGATTGAGGCTGAGCTGACGCTTGAGAAGACGCTACAGCTTGCTGCACAGTCGGAGGCGGCAACTCTGCAAGCGAGGGAGATGGAAGCCAGTGCACAAGTAAGTGTTGTCTCCAGGTCTAAACCAGTGAAGAGTTCTAATCAGGTGGGCAAGTGCTGTTACAGATGTGGCTCTAGCAAACACCTTGCATCATATCCAGGATGTGCAGGATGGAAGGCCAAATGTACTCAATGTGGAAAGACAGGCCACTTCACTAAATGCTGCATGAGTAAAAGTGAAACAAATGTGCATGCATCCAAGGCTGAGTCAAGTGCACGTCCCACTCATTCAAAGAAGAAAGTGTGCAATGTGGATGTCATGACTGTGGATGCTGGTGCTGTCGGCAACCTGTTGCTTCAAAAAGTGGTACTTACAGCTGATGATGCTTCTGCAGACTGTGAGATGCTCATTGACACAGGTTCTCAGGTGTCACTGATTCCAGATGCACTGTACAGCAACCGGTTTTCTGCTGTTCCACTCAAGGCTGCGTCTCACCAGCTGATGTCTGTGTTGGGTCATCCTCTTCCAGTGCAAGGGTGTATTGACCTGCAAGTGACTGTTCCGGAGAGGAACAAGAGTACCACTGCTATGTTCTATGTGGTCAAGGATGTGAAACCGATCTTGGGTCTCAACGTCATGTCAGCTCTGGCTTTGACTCTGTCGCCAGGTGCACTTGAACCTGTCTCTGCTGTCGAGGTCGTGGGAGAGCAGCTGCCCATGATCTCTGGGTTCATTCACAAGCCAAGAGTGAATCCACAGGTGCCTCCAAAAAGGTGTAAAGCCAGACGTCTGCCATTCAGCATCAGGGATGAAGTGGACTTGGAGCTCAAGAAGATGATGAAAAGCCGACATCATAGAGGAAGCCGAGGCACCAGAGTGGCTATCCCCACTGGTAGTCACTCGAAGAAGGAATGGACAAATACGCATCTGTGTGGATCTTCGTGGTCCCAATAAGGCGATCATACAAGACGCCTTCCCTCTGCCCTACCTGGAGGACATGTTCCACAAGCTACGTGGAGCAGAAATCTACTCTACACTGGACCTCACCAAGGCCTACCACCAACTGGAACTACACCCTGAGGCGAGGAACATGACTGCCTTCGCCACTCATGATGCTGTCTACAGATTCAAGAGGTGTCCTCTGGGCATGTCATCCATTCCAGGCGCGTTTCAACGTGTGATGACCACTGTGCTGAAAGGAGTGTCAGGAGTACAAAGCTACCTGGACGACCTGATTGTGTTCGGAGCGACAGCGCAGGAACATGACCAGGCACTAGCTACAGTGCTACAGAAGCTGAAGGAGTACAACATTCAGCTGAACATGGACAAATGCAAGCTACGACAGACTTCAGTCGCCTACCTGGGCATGCTGGTCAGCAAGGAAGGACTGAAGGTCGATCCTGAGCGGATCAAGTCTGTCGCCGAAGCCGTCACCCCCACCAGCCGAGAAGAACTACAATCGTTTCTCGGCGTGGCTGGCTACTACGCCAAGTTCGTGGCGGACTTCGCGACAGTGGTGGAGCCGCTGCGTCAACTACTGCGCGGCTGCCAACCGTTCCAGTGGACTGATGACGCCAGCAACGCCTTCGCTGAAGTGAAGCGGCGCATCGTCGAGAGCGGCCCTCTGACTCCGTTCGACCCCAACCTACCTACGTTCGTGACCACAGACGCGTCCGGGGTTGGACTCGGAGCTACACTTTCCCAGCTACACGGGACGCAGGAAAGGGTTGTAGCGTTCGCTTCCCGCAGCCTGTCTACAGCTGAAAGAAACTACGCAGTCACGGAACGTGAAGCACTCGCCTGCGTGTGGGCAGTCGAGAAGTGGAGGACGTTCCTGTGGGGACATCCCTTCACACTGCGTACTGATCACCAGGCGCTGGAGACGCTGCTGTCTCCTCAGGCGCATGGCCGTGCAGGAATGCGCATCGCCAGATGGGCAGCGCGACTGATGGTGTACCAGTTTGACGTAAAGTACATCAAGGGAGCGGAAAACATTTTCACAGACTGTCTGAGTCGCCTACATCACAGCGAAGCTACAGACGGCCAGACAGATGAAGACAGCTTCGTGGTGGCTGCAGTAAGCCTACCGGCTGTCACCGAACCCTCCTTCAGGGAGGAATGCGGCAAAGATCAGACGCTAGTCGCGCTTCGGAAGCTGCTCCAGGCTGACTGGCCACGACTGAACCAGCTGCCTGCTAACCTACGACCATACCACACGATCAAACACGAGCTATGTGTGATGGACGATCTTCTGTACCGTGGAGAACGACTGGTGGTTCCTCAGTCTCTACAAGCAAGAATCGTCTCACTCGCTCATGAGCAGCATCAGGGCATGGTGCGTTCGAAGCGACTCATCCGGCAGACCTACTGGTGGCCTGGTCTGGACGCGCAAGTCGAAGAAGCGGTTCGACAGTGTCCTGTCTGCCAAGAAAACGAGAAGACGCTGAAGTGCACTCCTACCCCGCTTCAGCCGGTCGAGTTCCCTCCAGGCCCATGGTATAAAGCTGGAGTAGACATTGTAGGACCACTGCCAGGCCCGCGTCAGTGTCGCTACGCCATTGTGCTAATGGACTATCATAGCAAGTGGCCGGAGGTGGGATTCACAGAAGATATCACCTCCGCAGGAGTCATCTCCTTCCTGAACTCGGTATTCGCCAGGGAAGGATACGTCCGGGAGCTCGTCACGGATAACGGCACCCAGTTTGTATCCGCTGAGTTCGAGGACTACTTGAAAAACAAGGGGATTCGACACCTGCGAAGCTCCAACTATCATCCTCAGGCCAACGGAGAAGTTGAGAGGTTTAATCAAGTGCTGAAAAGCACTCTCCGGTCAGCGAAGTTGGTGAACAAGCCGTGGAAGGAAGCTGTCACAGAATTCCTGCTACAGTACAGAGCTACGCCACACACGGCGACTAGAGTGTCTCCGTCGCAGTTGCTTCACGGAAGACTGATGGTCACCAAGCTGAATGCACTGCCGCCAAGACATACAGCAGTAGAGGACTCGGACGTACGTACAAGGGTCCAAAGGGCCCAGGAGAAAATGAAGATCTACACAGATGGACGTCGTCGTAGTCGTCCAGCACGGATCACTGTCGGCGATTGGGTGAGAGCTCGTCGAGTCGGTGGCTGGCACGGTCCACTGCAGGTGCTGAAACAGCGTGGGAAGTGGACATTCCTGCTGTCTGATGGGAAGGTGTGGAACGCGTCGCGCCTCTGTCGAGCTGCTGAACCGCTGGACATCGCTGTCCCGCCACTCGAGCCGTCACTACCTGCGCCGGAACCTGAACGAGCTGTGTCGGAGCGTCAGTCGGAGGCCCCGGCTGCGGAGCCACAGCCGCCACGCAGCTCCCCGCGTCGGATCGATCCTCAGGTGTCAGTGTCGCAGGCCCCAGGTCGCAGGCTTAGGTCTGCTGACGAACGCCGCCCGCCGGCACATTTTCGTGATTATGTTATGCATGACTGAAGCATTGTATTATGTACTCGTTACGTTATGAGAGGGGGAACTATGTTGTGTCCGGTGATGCATTATGGGCAGTGTCCGGTGATGCATTATGGGTAGTGTCCGGTGATGCATTGTGGGTAGTGTGGAAAAGAGGCCGAACCTTGGATGAGTGTGCCACGTGTTGGATTGGGAATAAAGCAAGTGGAAGCGGAGATTGATTGTACGAAAAGGGAAGCCGAAGCCGACGATACAACAGTAGTATATCAATTTAACTGTCCACATGAAGACTGCAGGCTTCATTCGGTTACCTACATTGGTTCGACTACCACGACACTGTCACGCCGACTCACAATGCACCTCAGGGAAGGGTCACCAAAAGAACACATGCACCAGCGCCACAACACAGTTCTAACACGGAAACAGCTCGTAGACAACACAGACATCATCGCATCATCAGACCATCCAAATCGGTTACGAATTTTGGAAGCACTACACATCAGAGAGAAAACACCCATCATCAATAAACAAGTATCTTCATCTGCGGTCACACTCGCGCTGTGGGGAGGGGGAAACATTGCGTGTTGAATATGTATAGGGAGTGTTTTAATATTGTGTGCATTTGTGTGTTTTGTGCACCACAGAAGAAATGTTTATGTCTGTATACAGAGAATGTCCTCATCGCAATGTCGCGTGCAATCAGTGTAATTTCGAGTTTCTTGGCTTTTAGAAACATGAGCATTTTTGAATCGATAGCGATAATGTACGATTGAAACCTTACCGATACGACATATTAGCTCAATTTTGATATTCTGAAGATGAAACAGTGATGTTTCGAAACGTTAATATATAGAATGAGCATCGGACGTATATTGTATACACTTCCTAAGAAAACGAAAGACACAGTACGAAAGATTGAATCGACTCAACGGAAGTTGGTGAAAGCTAAGTTCGCTTTGGTCTTCAATCAGACTGCAATTAAAGAAGATATACTGCCAAACTATACCAATATATATATATATATATATATATATATATATATATATATATATATATATATATATATATATATATATATATATATATATATATAATCTTTATGATCTTTTCATCCCCCCCGCTTAATAACTTAGTCCTGGCCCTGCTGCCGGATTTTTCCCCCCTCCCCCCCCCCCCCCCGCTCAACAACTTTTTTATCTGAGTCAATTTTGAGTCAACTCACTTGACTCAACAAAAAAAAAATGAATCAAGTTTGAGTCGACTCATATTTTTATTGTGCTGCTTGGGTCATGAGTTGAGTCAAGGGAAAAAATCAGCTCCTTGTTTGAGTCAGAGTTGAGTCAGGGCTTTCTGAAGTTGAATGATGAGTCGAGTCGGCATTTTTTTTTTTTTTTTTTAGTCGAGCACAACCCTGCCCTACAGCTTTTAACGCAGGTTATGGGGCTCTTTTGACACTTACGGATCCTTTCAACCTGGTCATTCAAAGGCCCCTTTGACTGCAGCCCCCCCCCCCCCCTGAGTGAATTCCTAGATACGCCACTGGACACGTATGATAGCAGCGTGCTGCAATCATCGGTGAAACGGCACAGGTTATCTGTCTTATTTGCTTGTTCTTGTAGTTAGCAAAATGAGGTATCTGTTGAGCAGTGGGCGGTGCCACCCGTCACGGGACCCGTGTCTGTGTGCCGGGGACACAGGTCCAGGTCTACGGGTGTAGGTAGCGCTGCTGCAGACCCGTCTCGTGAACGCCGCGGCCGCTAGATGTCTCTGGGACCCTGGTCCGAGTACCCGCTGCAGCCCTCTGTCCCAGGGCCCGAACAGGGGACGCCCGGTGGTGACATTTAGCCGTTTTCACGACGGGCTATCCGGCGAATGAACCTAATTTGACCAAATCTGCACTTATCTCTTTTACAGCAAATATCTTCATTTTATGAATTTATTTCATTGTTTTATAGGGACTATCCCACCTTTACATTAGGTTTGAGTTGAGATAGCCAAGTTTGCGGCGAGGTCCAGAAACCACTATCTATCTTGGTTGGTATCACCCCGCGGCCTCGTGGTGTTGAAGAAATTCGTTCCCTTCATTTGA